GAAAGAGTGCTGTTGCAAAATAACCCTTATGTACGCAAGTAATATTGATAAAATATACACCACTTCCGCTACATCTTTGTGACAAATATGAAATATAAAAACATTAAAAGAGCATTTTAAAGGCTGTATGTTATCTTAATTAAAAATTCCCAAACTTCGTCTAAGATGAAGGGAAGGAGTATGATCTAGTTGCGTGTTGTTGTGTTAAACTGTTCTAATCGTACACTCATATAAATGTAAGTGCTGTACACGGCAAAGGTTAATAAGGATAAAGATAGAAAAGTATGGCACTAGTAGAGGTAAGACTCCCTCGTGGGCTGACTTTAAATGAAAATCTTCACAAAGTTAAAATAATTAATATCTAAATAGGGCCATAATTATTCTGAGGCTACCTCTTTGCTTCTTTGCTCTCTCCTTCTCAGTCCGCTTGCAAAAAATATGTCCTCACTTTCACTGAAATTAGCATGAGATTTCCTAGCAGCTTCTTCAACCTGTTGCTGTTTGCTGCTAGAGCTGGCTTCAACTTACTGAAGTGAATCAGTATCCAAATATACTAACTAGTCAAGGAAATTTCCTGCATTGAGTTCTCACTAGTTTCATCAGAAGAGTAGAAACACAAACGAATTAATTTTTTCTCTCTTTTTGAAAAATTATAATAGCACTTTCAATATAAATATGCATTTTCTTAAGTGCTATTTTCTATTAAAAGAAAAAAATTAAAAAATATTTCAGCTAGAAATGTTTCATCAAAATCAAATGATTGATTAAATGTTTGATGTCTTGATTATGAAAGGTATAAATATCATATAACTGATCATAATAATTATAACAGCAATTTGTAAGGCTCAGAATCATTGACATAACCATGAGTAAAACATAGATTTCCTTTATTTTGAGGCTTCTGCTCTAGTAATGGATGCAGGAAAAGCTCCTGGGATAAGTATTTTGCTTTATACCTTTCTTGCAAGTGTACAGAATACAAAGAAATCTGCCACAATTAAGGAAGAGGAGATTAAGAATCTTAGAAGACTTTCAGAGAATTGAAATAACAAATTAGTTGTAAAAAGTCCTAATCTGGAAATAATTTATAGGGAAATCATCTAATATAGTTACTTTGATGCTTACTATCACATCTGTGTCCTAGTTTTAGATTTGACATACTGTGAAAAGCTGTTGTGAGAACTGCATCTATGGGGACACCAAAGTGAATTTGGTTATGCTGTGCTGTGTCTCCACCTTGGTGTGGCCTAACTCTGACATATTAAGTGAATCCAGATGTATCTCTGACAGATTAGTAATTGCTGGTGGTATACATATATGGCCTGACTGTAACAGCACTTGAAGCATGAAGCTACTAAGCTTCATTGGTATAACTTCATAGTAAGCAATATCACAGTCAGGCCAAATACTGCAAATAATATACTTCAAATAAATGAATAAAGCCTTGGCAGATTTCTGTTCCTATGCACTAAAATGACATGACTTCAGTCTGCTTGGGAGCTATGGTGAAGTGTGCAATTCTGCAAAATAATACATGTGATGTGAGTCACCACTCTATGTATCAATACTAAACATGTGAAAGAATCCTTTGATATCTACTGTTAATTGGCCTGTCATTTTTTTTAGTTCAAGAGCAAGAAAAATATTCAAAACAAATTCTATTTGAGGAAAAATTTTTCCTTTGCATTTTCCCCTTTTTACATGCTAAAAATTCTGTTTCAGTTACTAACAATATTATCTGCTACAATTAAGTTTGCCACGGAATATTTAAACACCTTCAACTTTTTCTATTTAAAAAATAGCTTAGTGAGTCCTTACATTGAAAACAACTAGTCTTGACATTTTCAAATAAAAAGACCCAGGAGGATAGGATCAAACAAATGATCCCAAAAGGGTTCTGGATTAAGAACCATCACAGAGGCCTTTTTGTGCCTGCTGTTTGCATATGCGTTCTCCACTGGAGACAGAAAGTGGGAGATGCAAGACCCAAAATTTTGTCAGTGTACAGAAGAAATAAACAAGGGGAACAGATTATTCTTTTTTTTTTTTTCTTATTTAATGTCCTTCTTCGCTGATAGGCTACCATTCATTTGTTCCTGTACGTGTTGTTGTAAACTGCTAGTTTCCAAACTGGTTTGGAATCGGGGTTTTCAAATTGACAATGACTTTTAAATAAGTGATAAAAAGCTGCAGATTTATATGTAACCATTTCTCTAATACAGCTCCCTTTCCAGGAGCAGAAAAATAATGGTTAATAGCATGGTTAATAAACAATTTTAATTCCAGTATACCAATTTTGGGGTTATTTTATGCATATCAGCTAGCAGTCACAGTTGAGACAGAATTTTTCCATTCTTAATTACCTGTCACCTCGAAGAGTCTCTTCTTGAATGAACTGATAACATTTCCATCCTTCCTCCTGAGTAAAGGACTGCTTCTCCTTTCTGTTACCTTTTGTTTTAACCTTGAACGTACCTTCAAATTGGGCTCTGAAGCTGGAAATACAGAGAAGAAAATGAATGATTACAAATCAAAGTATTGCTTCACCCAGACACTACTAACCAAATATACGGTCCTCCCTATAGGACCTCATCAGATCCAAAGAGAGCTCAAAGGCACAAATTTTCCTACCTGTCCTTCCCAATTGTTCTGCTGCTCCTCATACAACTCCAGTTTAGATTGGGGAAAAGGATAGAGAGGAAGGGGGCTCAATAGCTTCTGAGCCCAGCACTGTTACTGCTTTTGACCTCACCCCCATTTTGCCTTTCCCTGATTCTCTCTTCCCCACAAAAAACAAGTTCAGAATGAACCTGTATTATCAGAATGTCTCTATTCCCAAACTGAGTTAACTCTAGGAGACAATAGAAAAGAAGAGAAGAGGATACTCTACTTTGTATGCTATTTGCTTGACTTCAAAGAGAAATAAATTTCTCCCATTTCTAGCAATCTGGGATTGTTATTCTACTTTATAACGCTACATGGATTAAAGCATGTAAAGCTAAGCTATGAGGAACACATTTAAAAAAATGTTTGAGAAAATCAACAGCACAAAACTCACCAAGAATCAGTAAGGCTTTTATTTAATATTTACTTTACTAAGCTAGTGTTGGTTTGTTCTTTTATCTACCTCTAAATACTTATGATTCCTCACATGCTCTGCTTGAATTCAAGGAGCAGACACTAGGCTATTAAAGCAAAATATTTCAGTGGCTATGCTGAAAAAGGTGAAAAGGAATTTCAGTAATAAGTCATTGAATTAACTCCTTTTCCATCCTAAAGAAATGGCCATTGCTCATTTTTCTTCTCATCCAATTTCAACTCTCATGTTACCCAAATATCAGTAAAGAAAACTTTTTTTTCCGATAGTCTGATAGTAGGTACTATGACTAACAGTAGTTCATTTTATCATTAGCATTAATTACAGGTTAACGAAAATTTTATTCTACATCATTTAATATCTCTTGTAAGTGAAAACTTGGATGTTAATATAGCTTGGAACTCAACCTTATAATTGGATTATGGTCTGATGACAGAAATAGAAAGACGATTCCATTGGTGCCTTTTGATTTCTCTTAGAAATATAAATTATGACAAGATTTGCTGGCAGAACATTTCTTGGTCAGCAATTTTAGGCCCAGAATTTCAATGTTTTCTCAATAACATACCAAACAACTAGATTTATTACAGTGTCCAAAGAACATTTACACAGAAAAATATATGCTCTGAAAAGCAAGAAGTAGGATTGATTCCCAGAAAAGCTAGGATTATATTTAATGCACCTTGGGCAAGTTCCACCTCTCTTTCCTAAATGGACACAAGTCTTTTCATGTGAAGACCACAGACGAAGCTCTGTCGTGCTTTTTATTTTGTGATATTTTTAGCATGATGAAATGTTTCATGTACCCAATTATCTGTTCTTATAAGTAAACTCGCTATCAGATAGATTGAAAAGAGCTAGTGAAAGATAACTGTGGAACAGAATTTGTTTGTATTTCTCTTTCTGGAACTGAGACTCGGCTGAACAATATTTCAAAACAGAGAGAGCTGGAAACTGGGATCAGTTCTCTCTCCTATGCACATGCATAAACCTAGCCCCAAAGAAGGAGCAAGAGATAGTAGAAAACTAAACAAGTTAAACCTTCACTCCATTGAGCATTTTACCATTGGTTGCTTTGGGATAAAGATTCAACCCTGCACTTCTAACACCAATCCTTGACCAGTAGGTAGTATCAATACATTTGTTTCCTGCTGTCTGCTGTCCCACTTGTTCCCTCAGGAACAGGGACATTATAAATGCTTATGGCAGAGTAAAGGCATTGCTACCCTGCTCGGAGTGCTGCTAAATGTTCTGTAACCTCGAGACTCCTTCCATCTGCAGTCATTCACTTGCCTTTGTCTCATACTATATAGCTTTTGGCAAGTAGTCCCTTCTAAATGACCTATGCCTTGAGTACATTTCAGAGACAGAGGCACACGCTAGCAAAATGCTAGAAATCTTTAATAATAAAAATGTTAACAAGAAATTTCGGTTTCATCAGTTACTACCACCAAGACCAATGGTCACCATAGATATCACCCAACTATGATGACATTTAGAAGAAACGTTAGTCATCTATTGTGCTGACTCACTTTGCCTTGTACCCTTACAATTTAGAAGATTTCCATGCCTAGGATAGACTAATACGATACAAATCCTCTGCAATATTCACTGGAGAGAAGCTCCACTTCCATATGAAATGCGTTTCATGTGCAGTCACAGAGATTGCCTTTCTATTTTTACCACATTCCCATCACGCTCTGCAACTCAATCAATCATAATAACAGAGAAAGCACTTTGATGTGAATGTCTGAATTTATGAGTGAGCGGAGAAGATAGCCCTTGCATGAAAGATGAAGTCTCATTTTTAAACGGAAATAATCAATTTTAAAATGAAAAGGAATGGAGAAGAGTGAGTTTAAAATTATAAAATAAAAACTCCTGATAAAAGACAAAGCCAAGGTTTGGAGATGTGTGTGCCTCAAGTACTGGCATTCTTGAATGTTTCCCATGAGACACTGCCAGCTACTAACATGGTACCAGCTAGGACTTGATGGCTGGCAGTAAAAAGTCAGATTTCAATGTACTAAATAAATCTATCCAATTTGAGGGTGTCTACTCTGATGGACAAAGTGCAGAACTGAAAAGTGGTTTCTTGATACCTGTCAATGGCTGAGGCACAAACGCGGTGCATGACTTTAGAGGTCACTATATCAACCTGTTCCACAGAAGCTGAAGCAGAATTATTGGTGACTGCAATCAGTATAGATTACATTAGCAATCCTGTGTGCTTCAGCACACTCCTGCATGAAGGCAGTAATAACACATCTATAACCCTCAACGCTCTTGTGATAGTTAAAAAGGCAAAATTAAATATTTTAAGCTTCAAGGATAGACGGATGGTTGGATGGATGGATGGATAGATAGACAGACAGATAGGTAGATAGATCCGTACACATACCTCCCCAAAGCTCATTACTGATATATTTGATTACTTAGAAATTATTTTAATCCTTTGAATGCTGTAATACAAACAGGTGAGCAAAGAGTGGAAAACAAATTTCTTTAAACATTGTTTAAATTACATTGTCGACCTAATACTTGCAAAGCATTTGGAAAGCCTTAGTTGCAAATGGTGAAGAATTATTATAATTAATCTGCTTTGATATTTTAGCTAGTGGTTCTTAGAACTGGTCTAGAGAGGGTATCACTCAAAATAACGATTTTGCACTGGTTCTTTCTGCGGGCATTTTTACTGCACGTTATGAACAACTTTTTTGAGTTCAACTAAATCCATTGTATCCATGTCAGCGAAGGCTGACTATGCTAATCACCCAAAGACGTTTGTAGTGCAGAACAGAAGTGTCACAGGGGGAACTAGTACCAAATAACTACAGAATCTTAAACTTCACTCTGTGCCTCACTGCAGAACAGCTTCCTCATCACGTAGATACCATTCCTTAAGAATTAACCTTTTTATACTGCATTAATACCACCAGATAACTAAAAAAAGCCCCCAGGTAAGCTATTACTCTACGCAGTGATTCAACCATAAATCAAGATACTGATTCAGCAAGACAATGAATAAGTGTGACTAACTTCCTGTACACCTAACATCTCACGGGAGGCAAGAACTCAATTAATTCTAATTGATACAGGAAAACGTAATTTTCACTTTCCTGAGGTAATAAGCCCTCTCTAAAGCTAAGGAGGATGACATTCCTAAACCAGCATAAGTCGTGGCTCTTCAGAGTATATGTACCAGTGCAGGAGAACATCAACCGCAGAGATACCAAAAGGATCCCTTCTGCTGTTGCCACAGCAACACTAGGAGGATGCTGAATGAGGTGAGGTTTCCTGGGTTAGATTTCTGCCACTGAAGTGGGCTGAGTCATCTCACCAAGAAGCCGGAATGACAGAGTCGAGAGAAGGAGCAAGAGCACATGGCTGGGAGCCTGGCAGAGGAGGAAAGCAAGAGTATACCTTTTCAGGGCAGTAGGCTGCTAGAATGGCTTATTCATCTAAAATCTTGCTAAGAGAGAGACAGAGGTGTGTATCAGATATGGCTCTACTAGGTCATTATTAGCCTAGCCTCTTTGCTACACAGTCCTCTGTGCTTCTAATATATTCAGGATTTTGTGACAAGTAATCTTTGCCCAGTTGGAGAAAGGGAAAATGTATTATTTGAGTGTGTTTTGCAGGAAAGAAAACAAAAAGATACAGTGATTTTCTCTGAAGCTCATCAAAAACCACCTCACTGATCCTGCTGGGAATCAGCATTTGAGTGATTCACTCAAGTGGATTTCAGTAAAGACTAATTTGAGAATGACTCTGTTTATGTAACTCCGCAATACAATTTGGAATAATGCAATGTTACAGTAATATGGTATGTTCAGTGTCTCATCATTATTAGCTGGCTTAACATCTCTTTTTAATGCTGTTAACCTGAAGTGGTATGACGCTTTAAATGGTTGCCCACTTCAACTGGGCAATGACTATGAAAGATACAGAGACTATTAGTTTAAATGACAACAGAAGAAATCAAAAGAAACACAATGGATCAGTTACCTAACTCCTTGGCATGACCTCCAGTTATTTCTACAGAACTGATAATTTTGGTCCTAGATAAAGAAGATAATGACTAGATGAATTTTCTCATCCTTTGCGGTGGCTTCATTACAGCAGGAAAAAGGTTAGTGGCCATATTGTTAAAAATAGCAAATATACAGACTTGCACATATGTACATATTATTTCATCACAATCACCATCGCTGCTGAAAGAGAACTACTCTCTCCTGAGTAACATGATATTGAGAGGCAAGCACGAGAGATAGGAAAATGATACAGTGAAATCATTATGACATATAGTACATTTTGCTTAATGATTAGCAATTTGCAGATACTAGCATTAAAGAATACAGCCTGGGGCTACATTGCTCCCAAATGAGCTAAGGTTTT